TCTCTGTAAAATATTTGGGTGCATGTTAGTCTAGCAATTAAATTGCTTGAAGCACCTCATTTCTTAAAATGCATATTGTGTGGAAATATCATTCTAAAGGGACTGACAGACTGTTCAACTAATAATTGAAACCAAATGTCAAGACTCTGAAGACTGGTGAGAAGAGAAGCTTTTTTGAAAGCATGAAGTGCTGCTCCCTTTTCTCTTGCCTATCAGTCTGCTAACATTTAGTCAGCATTGACCTTAATACTATTTCTTGGACTAACTGGCTTGATAAGGTCTTAATCTTCACTCTACTTGTCTTCATTAGCAGCTGCAGTGGATTGATTTGCAGAGGTTAAATGGTAGACCTCATTTGACTCCAGTAAAATGTTGCTTCTTAGGCACAATTAAATTGTCAAAATTGTTACATGTAGTGTATAAATGAAGAACAGGGGAGAGGGCAAAAGGGGGGGAAAAAGAAAAAAACTCTCATTAAATTTGTAAACAGAAGGCAAAAGCTATTTATGGAAAAAGTAGAAATGATGAGGGAGAGTGTGTGTCCACAGGTTTGTTTTTTGGACTGGTACCGGTTTATCATCAAGAAGTTCAAAAATCTCAGGCATGTCGTGCTGTGAAATGCAAAATCCACAAAATCACCTCCTAGGTCCAAGCAATAACAGAGTGATGCTTCTTTGCACATTCCCTTTAGAAACTGGTAGAGTTATTAAATGGAGAGTGGAGAAATCTGTGGTGGAGAGTCCCTAGCTTTCACAGATGAGCTGGAGGCAAGAAGCACAGATCCAGCATATTGCTAGTATGTCTGTCATTTGTGATGGCTGCCCTATGTATTTGCTGACCTCTCCTTCCTGTTGACTTGGAGGTTCTGTTTGGAATTGTCAGTTTTAAGAGCTAGAGTGAGAAGTGTTGCCCTGTTGATAATGCATTCAGTGCTAGCTGCCAAGTAACGGAGAGAGAATGGAAAAATACTGTTTCAGCATAGCATCCTAAGGAAGCACAGACTTCATGTGTGAGAAGCTGGGATTTTCAAAAGGCATCTGCCTCCCTTAAAATGTGTTTCAAGTTTCAAATCTCTTTCAGGATCCAACCATAAAATCCTAATGAAGACAACTCACAACATGGTAAAACGATAATCAGATATGTTGGATTCCCCTCCAAATGTGTGTACCACTGGCCACAGCCAAACAGGTGTATGGTGGTGTACCAGCAACCTTCAGACACTGACTGTGGGCCAATGAGAATTTATATCAGAAATTTGAGGTTTCTGGTTTGCACATGGAAGAAAACAGTAAAAATGTCATTTCCCTCTACATTGCTTCAAATTCACTTTTTTAATATATGAATTGCCTATTGGGTGGAGTTTAGTTCTGGGGCAGCTGGGATTAAATTTGTGGGGTTTTTTGTTTGTTTTGTTGAGCATTTATATTTAACTAATCTGGAAAACTTTGAGGCAGACATTGTTAAAGGACCAAATCACTGAAGTCAATGGGTTAGACAGAAAATCACAAGTTGCAATGATGGACAACTGTCATTTGAGAAGAGCCAGGTGGTATTTCACAGCCACAGGAGGATACAGTGAGAAGAGGAGATGGATAATGAGTCCTCCAAGTAACAGTTACCACCTGGAAACGTTCAATGCTGGAGAAACTGCTCATGAGGAATTTTGAGAGAGAACATAACTGCTCAAGTCCTATTTGTGTGTACTACTCAGAAGCTGGCTTGTGTTGCCCTTTGGGCAGGAGCATGTGCTGCTTCAGTTAACCACACCATGGGTTGCTCTCAGGGCCATGGCTGACAGGGCAGTGCAGTAGCTAAACGGTACCTGAATCTACCAGAATTCATCTGCCAGAGCCCCTTTTGTAAGGGTTCATTGTTATTAGAGATGACTCAAGGCAACAAATGGAAACAAATATTTTGGCAGTTTCTGAGTTGACAGTAATGACCACTTGGATTCATTCCAGAGGATAGAGCCCAGTAAAGAAACCTGGCTAAAATTTGTAAGACACTGTTACAGTTTCTGGCTTTTACCACATGTTACTACTCCTGAGACCTTTGATGAGTCATTTATTCCTTGTTCCTTTATGCTTTTTCTAAAAGCAAACAATCTAAATATTACAAGTGCTCATGTATTTATGTCACTTCTAAACATACTGGTAATATATAGAAATATGTTCTATCCTTACTTCAAATACTGCAACTAGAAATTTTGCACCTGAGTTTTAATTGCTAGGTTACTGTGTGGTTTTTTTTGTATATTAGGCTATAGGTGTGCCAGTAATTCCTACTGCTGTTTCAAGCGATTCTTGACCTTTATGGATTTAGTTGGGATGGGGAACATAGATGGGCTTTATCCTGGCAAATATGAAAGAAGATTGAGACAAATTGCCACTATGTTGAACATAGAAGTGAAAAGAAGGCTGCTCATAATTAAGGATCAATTAAACTGGGATAGTTACTGCACTGTTTCTATTCACTCTTGCAAGTAACATGATAAAATACAATTCCTTCAGGTAGGACTAACAGCCAGCCCACTTGCTGTGCCATCTCTCACAAACCGTTTTCTGTTCTGGAGAATTTAAGTAGGGTGTGAAAGATGCTGGCCCAGATTGCCATCAATTACTCCTCCTCTCTGCTCCTCCTCCTTCCCTTTTCCCATCTCTGCTTGAATTCCTTCCAATAACTTTATTAAAACCTGGTTACTCATTGCCACTTGTTCTCTGTGAAAGCGAGCTGAGCAGTGCTGATTTGTAACAAATGCAAAATGATTCATTAAATTCAATGTCACATCTGCCTGGACCAAAGTTTGCAGCAGTGAGGGTTTCAGGGCAGGCAGTGTACCTCATTTCCACCTAGTAAGGAGCAGAATAGACACACAATGCTTTACAAGTGACTTTCAGCAATTAATAGGGTGTGATGGTCTATTTGCATATCCAAGGAACTGTTCTGTGCAATTTGTTAATATTATAAAAATATTTACTGATTTCATTCACACCTTTGGAAATGCAACATGAGCTAAGAAATTCTTCTCATCTGGGCACTCAGAACTGTCTAGCATCTCACAGAGCCTGACTGCCACTTTTAGCTGCACCCTGAACAACAGATTTAACAGACTTGAGAAGTTATAACTGCTGAGCTCCTTATGTGCAAGATGATAGGTGAATCTGCAATCAGGAGACTGAGTATTCTGCAGTTTGTCATCTTATTTTGGTTCAGTGCAGTAGCACTTAACAGTTAGTGAAGAGAATGGCTTCCCACAGAGGATGAGATGTAAGCTGAACTGATGTTCACTGTCCTTTGCTTATGTTCAAGTTTAACTATCTGACTGGCATTCCAGGTGTGGGCAGAAATGCAGTGTCACCTCTGGAATTCACTGGTATGGTAAAATGACTCAGAAGAGCCTCTTCTCTTTCAAATGGTTTAGAAAGCTGACATTTTAATCTCATTTTCTATACAAAATAGTTACTCACATGATCATACTGTCTACGTAGCTGACCCTGTAGATTTTGAACCCTGTGGTTAATTTCAATCAGGGTTGGATATTACACGTTCTTAGAAATAAGTCAAGTAGCCATTAGGCAAAAATTTGTAAATTTCATTAGTTTTGATGCCCAGATAATGAAGCTTAGGAAATATGTCAGATAAACAGTTTAAGAACTTTTGTTAATGGAAAGCAGTAGTCTTCTATTTAAAACATAGATCTTGCGTGTAGAGAGCTTTGAAATTGGTTTAAGAAAGGTATGCTTAAAATAGCAGATTTGAAAACCATTTAAATATCAGAATCTTTAAATTTCTCTTTTAGTGCTTACATTAGTAAATCAAAAATTGGCTATTCATTTTTTTTTTCATCTTGAGCATTTCAAAGAGAAACTGTGATAAAGCTTTACTTGAACAGTTTTTCTTAAGACCTCAGTAGAATTAGTTAGTAGAGAAATGTGCTGATAGTGTGGACTTTAATCATGCAGAATCATAAATTATTTCAAATCGCTCAAAACTGGGCCCAGTTTTGCCCACTTTAAGTATAACTTTTGGTAAATATAACCAATGCTTTTAGAAGATAATGTATAAGGTGCACGTTAGGATGGAAAGATTACAGGTTACCCAGCATGACTGATTGCAACTTTCATAAGGAATTGAATTTAAGATTTAATCTCAAGTAGTTTAGTGAACTTGTGCAAAAAATAAATTGTTAGAAATATTAGAGGCTGCTGCTGCTTTTTCCTGAGCTGCATGTGTTTTGGTTTGTGTGATCTGACAAAGCATTTCCACCCCTCTAGTTTGACCTTTGACTGTATATATGAGCTTTATTTACTTTTCATTTTTGCTGTCTAGATAAATAAAAATACATTCTCAAGGCTGTAGTTCATACCTTGACCTTTCAGGATAGGTTACTTACCTTTCAGCTTCCATCTGCATTTCTGGTGTGCCTGCCACTGTAGTACATAGGGGTACTGCTCTACCTAGATTCTAAAAATGTCAGTATTTGTTAGAAAGTCTGTGTATGTGTTGTAAGTAAAGTGAAATATGTGAATCTGAAAATGTGTCCATGAATACATGTTCCAGTTGTTGGCTTTTGCCCTCAAAATGCCTTCTGAAGACCTAAGTTTTATAGCACTACTTTTCTTTTCTGGGATACAAATCTGTCTCTTCCCAGCTCTAAGTGAGTTAGCCAGGTTTGAGCTCTTTGTTACATCCACAGGGACATTTTTTGTTTCTTCTTTTCAAAGGCACCAGGCCTGTGAAGTCAGGTCATCTCTCCTTGCTTGCACATCTTTAATCAGATCATCTACTGAGAACATATGGGTTCATGAGAGAGCCAACTGTAACTGCAAACTAATCTGCTGCTTCTGCACCTTCAGTGCCTTTGGCTCTGGGCCTGATATTACTCTTAATAGTTTGTTAATACCAAATAATGCAAAAACATTGCTTCCTTAAGCACTTAATAGGATGTACTGTAATGGAGACAAATGGTCTATAACACTCTTTACTTCTGTTTTAGGAACATGAACTGAAGGATGTTGTGCAAGGAAAGAATCGCCTGAGCCTTCAGTATGCAAGTGTGTCCCCCAGAGCACTGCAATATGACGAGGTAACATCATCAGCACAGATCTCATACATTCATTTATCACAGAAATCAGGCTGCAGAGTGGATAGAAGTGATCTCTATAGTCAGGTTTTTTTCTGATTTGCTTGCTTCTACTTGATAACATACATTTAATTAAAAATAAATTACAAAAATTTATTTTATGAATGTATGTTATTTTCAAATGAAAATTTAATGTGCTGATAGACTTTGGAGAGGTACATCATTCCTCTGATGCATATCTGCTTCGTGTTGTAAAATGGTGTTAGGCTTTGGCAAAAAGACTTTTTTGGTGATTTTTATGGGACTTGTTTGTAAAATTCCCACCTTTTTCTGAAAAATACTGATCGAAATGATTACTATCTAGTAGATCTTTTCCTGCTCTTCTGCATTTTTTCTTTGCATTTTTAAATTTCTCAATAAAATATTGAAAAGCTCTTGCCCAGCAGCAAATGCCTCAAATTCTATTTAGCAGTCGTTATTTCCCCTGTAGCGTGGCACATGGCATAGCCTCAGCTATCCCAGGTACTGATATAAGAACTCTTAATAGGGAGTGATTTTCTTCAACTCTTTTTTGTGCCTTTTATAGGACAAGAAAAAGGTATTTCTGACTACAGTGGGATTGTATGTATGGCAAAGACTGCCTGGCTTGACTACCCTGGGAGGAGAGGCTGATGTGCCTTCCCTCACCACATCTGCATTCAGTGCAAGAAACATCATGAACCAGGCACTTCACAGGGCTACATCTAGCTATAAATAAAACTCCAATTTGAAATTTCTACAGGGCTTAAGTGAGTTGCTCGGCAACCTCATTCATATCAGAAGAGCTGTAGCTCACATGGGCTCTGATGAAAACTCATCCTCAAAGCCTGGAAAACAGTGGTGGCTGCATGCTCTGATACCTCTGACGTGCATGTGTCACAGAGGAGCCCACTGCTGAATTTCTGAACCAGAGGAGGACATATTAAGTCCCCGAGACAATGCAAATTACTGAAATTCAGGGCTGGCTATGTGTGTACTCCACATTTTGTGTTTAGGACCTGGTATTGAAGCAGAGCTGAAATTTCCTGTTGCTGAGGAACTATGATTCTAACTTAAATCATTTGTATATAGTAAGACACTATAATAATACTTTATGATAGGAGGAAGCCATGTGTATCATACCAGCATTTAATTTTATTCATCCATCTGTCTAGAATTCTTCCCTTTCCTAATATTTTTTGTTTCTCTTTGTTGTTTGTACGTTGCCTTTACTCTTCACTTCATGAGGCACATAAGGTCACACTTAGGCAGTTTTATGTTCTACCTGACACAGGAATAACATGCAGCATTAATGCAGCAAAGGCTCAGAACGTTGGTAGCACTGAAAATGTTGGCCCTCTTACTATCAGTAAGTGAGGAGCTATGTGGTTAATGATGTTTTATCATACATAATGTTTTTCTCTTCCTGTAGTGCAGAACTGGAGGTACACTGAAAAGCCTAGTAAAAGGAATTTAAAACACAAAGGTAAAATGTCACCCTTTGACACTTAGCCACTAAGTTAGTAATAAAATTACCTTGTACTATTGTAGTGTCAGAATTTCTCATACTGTGGATGTTTGTTTCTTCAGATGTATTAAATACTGTGAAAGGCACAATGCAACAATTCTGGATGCCTGCCACTACTAGTATCACAGACTCAGTAGGATCAAAGACTTGCTTTAAGTCTACCCTCTCACTTTTAACAATTTTTAAAATATGCAATCTTTGCAGTATACCCTGAACACTAACAAACCTTTTGTTTTTCTTCTTGCATAACAAGTTTTCTTAGGGAATTATTTAGGGTTTTCTGTTTGTTTGGCTTTTTTTTTTTTAGCACACACAATGAGGTTGAGGATAGATTGTGCAGTTTAGATTAGTGTGAAACTATGCAGCTTTGGATGTGGAGGCTGGAGCAGAATTCTAAGAGTTAGGGCTCAGCCCTGAAGGGGAAAACCTGCCTAAAATAATTTATTATTTTCCACCCTTGAGAGCTGGCCTGGAAAACAAGCCAACTTTATCCAAGCAAATAGGGCTGCAGGACTGTTTATGCATTTACATAGCACAGAAAAAAAAAAAAAAGTACTGCTCATTTTTGCACAATGTAGTTGCTGAATTTGGCTCTAGAAAGGAGTAGGTGCAAAGCTGTCTGTCTTTAAATCCATAAAACAAAGCAAAACTTGTGCAGAACTTAGATGATTTAGTATTGGTACTCTGCATAAGAGTAACAAAGTTGCCTTCCTGGAGTGGGGTACTTGTGAAAAGATGTTGTGTCCCTAGGAGTGCTGTAATACTAGGCTCTGACTTGTTTTCCTGCTCATCTGGGTATATATGGGCAAGTGGTTTTAAGTAGAAGTAGAATAGGCATTATAAATTCATATTTTATTTCCACAATGCCTGAAATCATAGCATTTTCATTGTAGTTTCTGAACAATATTTTCTGAGCAATGGCAGTTTGAGAAATTGGCAGGTCTCTGAAGTCTAGAAGGAAGGCAAATGGTGGCTCATAAGGCCGATGGAGCTTTTCACCAATGAAATAAGTTGCTGTTTTGTTTTGCTGGGATGGTTTTTAATATCTAGTTTCTGTTTAAGTGTTCAGGAAGCAGAAGACATTTTAGCAGTATACTGACCTTCATGACTGACCCAAACAAGGGCACAATTAGTAAGTGTGAAGGTATGGAATGAAGAATGAATTGGTTTATGTATTGAACGGAGAAACACCACAGATCTTGATGTTCCCTGTTTCTGTCATGGAATGAGACCTGTTTAAGATGACACTCTATTTAGGTCAACTCTTCTTGCTGCTGGGAACATCGATGCTTTGATGTGCTCTGTGTGCATCTCATCTACACGTCTTTTAAATACCTCCAGGGATGGGGACTCCACCACCTCCCTGGGCAGCCTGCTTCACTGCTTAACTACCCTGTCAGAGAAGAAATTTTTCCCAACATCCAATATAAACCTCCCTCGGCACAACCTGAGGCCATTTCCTCGTGTCCTACTCCTTGTTACTTGGGAGAAGAGATTGACCCCTACCTTGTTACATTCTCCTTTCAGGTGGTTTTAGAGGGTGATAAGGTCTCCCTTGAGCCTCCTTTTCTCCAGGCTAAGCAACACCAGTTCCCTCAGCTGCTCCATATAAGACTTGTTCTCTAGACCCTTCACCAGCTTTGTTGCCCTTCTTTGGACCTGCTCAACCTCAGTGTCTTTCTTGTAGTGAGGAGCCCTTGACTTGTCAAGTTTGATGCTGCATTATGGGTTATATAAACATGTATATCACAGCATTTTATGTGATGCACAGTCCTCAGAGGAGAAAGTCCTGACAGGAGTGCCATGTAGAAATATCAAAAGTTATCAGTGTTTCTGGAAGTAACAAGAACAGTTATTGGAAGGTGGTTGGTAGATTTGATTGTGTTCTTTCCAACCTGCAAAATGAAGATATACACAGAACCATGTTCAAAACCTGATCTGTCAAAAGAGGAAGGAAAGAAATTACCAGAACCATTTGTGTATTCATAAACTTTAACTAAATTAGGTATGTGCTTTAAGATCTCCAATGACTGGTCCTAAGATATGTAAAATATCTACACTTCTACTTGTCTCTAATTCATCTCTTTCTAAAAGTACATCAGCAGCTATTGTGATAGTCCCTTCCCTGCCAGCAGGGAAACACAGAGCAGAAAGGTTCCATGCTCACTAGCCCCCAAATATTATTTGGACTATGACAACCATTGAGTTTTAGAAGATTCTTTACAAAGGTAGTCAGTTGGTATTAGTTGTTTTGGAGACTGAACAGAAAACTAAAGCCTGGGGAAAATAACCTTTTGTTGAAAGATGTTCAAAATATTGTACTTCATTCATCCTCAGTAAATTAATTGAGAATCACAGACAGTAACACAATTGAATTATTGGTAGTGATACGTCATTGCTTCTTTTTTCTACTCCATTACTCTTCAACAATACACACTGACTGATCTGAGCAGTGAAATACAATGTAAAGGATACAGGAAGTTAATATATTCTGAAAACCAGTTGTTTAATAGTTCCCTTAGTTATAGAGAAATGAGGGAAAAGGAAAAGAAAAATCTGTGCACAGAAAAAAAATCCTGAGGTTGACAATAATTGCATCAGTTCTTGTGGAAAACATGATTTGTTCCCTTTTCCTCTTTCTTTTTTCTAGTCCACTGCACTCTAAAGAGCCCTCTTGCAAAGATGAATACGAGGGCTGGCTGCAACCATTTAGATTGTTTGGTCCATGGCAAAATTTTCAAGTTAACAAACTGGAGCCAGAAGGCAAAAAGAAAAGCTGAATCAGTTTCCAAAACATCACTTTAGAAAATGTCCAGGAGATCCCCATGCCAGAGATTGCTTAGTGCCATTCCCTCTCTAAACAAACAAAAAAAAAGAACCAAGCCCAGCAGAAATTATATATTCTTATATACTTTTTATATAAGTAATTAAAGTGAAAGAAAAGAACTTGTCACTTCCTTAAGTGAAGTTAGAAGCAACATGAGCTGCACCGAGATTGAGGCCTGTGCCCCTTTGCAGGACTTGTCCTGCTTTGCCTCTCCTGGGTGATCCTGCAGCAGGGCTCAGGCTTCTGTGCTCTGTTGCATCTAACAAGGGAAAACAGATACTTCTTGCAACACTGCTCACTAAATAAATTATGGCTGTTTCTTTTGCTTTCTTAATTTCTATCACCATTGCAGGGAAGTGGAAATAGTAGCTGCATGTGATGTATTTTTTTTTACCTGGGCATTTATTGCTGGTGGGTTTTCATTCTTAATGTAAAAATTGCAGTTTCTGATATGGTACAAACTGCAACAATCCTGTTGATCTACATCGATACAAGACATAGAGCCATAAAATGCTCAGGAATAAGAAATCAAAGTTTCAGCTGATCCAGACTTAAGAAAGAACTTTTCTATGGCAGGATGAAGTAGTTTCATGTTCTATTCTCCTATTTTCTGTGTGTGTTTATGAAGTACTCACTGTCACTGATGATTCACAAATCCTGTATAAAAAGACTTAGTCATAGTGGTTAAGCTAACACCAAGTAAATTAAATGGGAAAACAAATCCTACTTGGTGAGTATCTGATCCTTTAAAAACCTTCTGGATGCAACTATTTTAAGGGAGAGCATGGGGTTTGCTGCAGAATACCTATTTTTTCATTGTAGAGACACTGATTTCAAATGTTAGCACAGACTGATCATGTATATTTGGGTTTATTATGCAGTCAGTTTACACTAAAGAATAGTGCTGGAAAATGTACACTTGAGTTATATTTTGAGATATGTATGTTAGTTCTGTCTCTATATAGTACACCCATCTCTGATGCATCTGAGATCCAGAGAAATTAGGAATTCCTTGATGATCATTTATTTGTGCATTATATAGTATATTTATTAAAATTTGCATAACTTATGCATAAATATGGTTTGTTTGTAAAAGAAAATGTCTCATGCATACATGTGTAGGAGATACACAGTTTCCTCAGCGACCATTCTATTCAATTTTTTGCACTTCTCTCCTTTTTTCTTTGCCCTTTTTTCCTTTTTCCATTTTAACATGCAGAAACATTTGTGTCAGATATAGTTTTACCTTCATTAATTAGCTGTTTGGGCAATAACCATGTCATTTTATTTCTAGGTAAAATCAGACTATGACCATCTTAGAGAAACCCTTCTCAGAGTGACGAAAGAACGAGATTTGGCTGTAAAGGGAAAACACCAGCTCCAAGCCAAGCTGGAGAACCTAGAGCAGGTCCTAAAGGTATGTACAGCACCATAAAGTCCAACAATCCAGTTCTTTTATTACTTTTCAATATTCCTGATATTCATTCAGTGAGTCACGGATGCATAAGTGCATTGCAAGCTAGGGGACAGAATGCCCCTATTAGTTATCATAAAATGGATGGCATACAGGAGACTAAGTACCTACAAGGGATATCAAACTATTAGAGGAGAGACATCTTTAGGGATCTTTATCTGATACATTATAAGTAAATGGATGTAGGTTTGCACTATACAGTTATTGGAAGTAAGTCAAGATGAAAAGTGGCTATGCTGATGAAGGAAGTATGCAAGATATTTTGGCAACTGCCAAGACATTTTACTTTAAAGAGAGCTGTCTCTGCCAGTCTAAGTAGCTGCAAAATGCTATTCTGGCCTTGTGAAACAAGCTGTTGCTGCCAGCTTATATTGCCTGTGCAGAGTACATCCCTTTGTCAGGACAGGTTTACAAAACCTGCCATTGTGCTATTGGAGAGGTCTTAGAAAGAATTATAGTGCCTGGTACGTAATCACCTTTCTTTTAACATGCTTCTAGAGAAGCTTAGTACGTTGCTGTCTAGCCATGTTTGTTCTCTACATATACCATTGTTTTCACATAGTAAATTTGCTGCTTCGTTTTCAACTTAGAAAAATGCAATACTGCATTTTGAACCATAGGTATTCTTCAGTAGAGGTTTCACTGTGTAGTTAAGATACTGAGCTGCTTCTGTTTGCCTGGTTATTGTGCATAATGCCATGGGACAAACTGATGGTGGAATTCACCAGGTGAATCTAACAGACAAGATCTAGCTGTCATGATGGGTTGGAGTAAGAGTAACATTCTGTTGAGAAACTGATTGTTTACTTACCAGCTAGTTCAAGGGGACAGTAATTTGTATATGTTGAAACAAAGTGCAAAACAAAGTTCTAGTGGTGGGAAGGAAACAATGATTTGCTAGGAAACAGCCAAATTCCCAAAGTGTCATTGATTAAATAAAGATGGAAGTCAGAAACTTGATAAGCCAAACCTGATAGATGGATCAGGAGTAATGGAAAAGGGTCTGGAAAGTTCTTTACAGACAGTGAGCTGGTGTCCAATGTGATGGGGTAGAGGGAGGCAGTAGAAGGAAGTTTTTGTAGAAACAAAAACTGGTTTCAGTGGGCCACTATTCCCAGGTTTTTATAGTTGTGTAAAATATGGAAGTTGTGATGTGGAAAACTACCACCAAAACATACCTTGAAGAGGGTTAAGCAACTAAGATTATTAAAAAAAAAAAAAAAAAGAAAAAAAAAGAAAAAACTTCATACAGTTAACAGCTGTTTGTATCAGTGGAGGAACTGCACTGCAGAGGACTGGAGTGAGAATTCTTGAGAGAGAAAACACTTGTAATCACTTGTCTATAACTCAGAGCATTCAGAAAAATGAAAGATGAGCACATGGTTAGAATGGAGTATTAATCCAGTGCTGAAACTTTTTTGACAGACTGCCAAAGAGCTGCTTATTTTTCTTCTCAAGTGTAAAGTTTTCCTTCTTCAAACTACTGAAGTCTCTGGTAAAAGAGGGATGGATGCCCTGAGAGTAGGAGGAGATGGAAAGAAAAGTTAGTGGTCTGAGATCTTAAACTCTGAACAAGACTTTTCTTTGCAAAGTATCTGAACTGGGTACAAGAATTAGTTTATTGCTCATGCAAGTGGGGGTGTTTTAGCAGAATAGGAGCCAAGTCAATAATACTTTGTATTTTATTCCAGCAGCTTCTGGAAACACCTGCTGTTGAAAACACATACTAGGCAATGCCAAGGGGAGTTAACTCTTACATTTATTGTTGTGCAGTGATTTATCAAAATCCTACTTACCAGTCAGTAGGTAGCTCTGATGGAATAAATGTAGAGTTATCTGCAAGTAAGAAATACATCTACTGGGGAAAGGCAAATTAAACTTCTTAATTAAATAGAAGAGTGATATACTGTTATCTGTCTTTAGACTAATAAAACTTTCTCCAGGAACAAGTAGGAAGTTTTGCTCTAGCAACAGAAGATAAATTACTTTTTCTGTTATATCTCTTTCCTTTTCTTCTCGGAAATACAAAACTGGCAGCTCCACAGACCTTCATCACTAATTTGGTATTTAACTGTGAACCATGTGCTAGAACCTACAGAAAGCAGGATCAACATCTAGAAGCCATTTCAACAAATATGGCTTGCCTGTGCTCTCTCTATAATGATTGTGGGATTCCAGCTTGGTAACTGCAGAAATTCAACTCCTTCAAGGAGCACATAGTAAAAGATAAGAAGAAAAAGTCTAGAAGATAAATGAACTGTGAATTCATGGCTCATAAAACAGCTGAAGATTAGACTTCAAGTAAATTTGCATTCATTGTCATTTCAAAATTAAATTATTATTTACTTGGATCCTGTGCTGCTAAAAACACCCACCATCATGAGCAATAAATTCATTTCTCATACCCTGTTCAGATACTGATTTTGCTAGGCTAGTATGTTTTGGAACACTTGAAACTCCTCTCATGATGGACTGTGTTTTATTTTCTTCAAACGAATTAAAGAACACACTTTCTTCTTTGGCCATACCAAACAATATTCATTTCTCCACACTTTAATTAAGTCATCTACTGGCATTTGGCTTGGCAATTTCTCCAAATTCTTTCTATAAAAGAGCTGAAGAGCTGAATCTGGTTATTTGACTGATTTGGCTTCACTTCTACTGCAATAATACTTCTAATGGATGTGGGAGAAACATTCTGTACATCTCACTATTCTGCTTAAGAACTCCTTCAAAACTTCCTTCACTGAAACCAAACTTGCCTGCTGGAGATAGAGATCCTGACTTTCCATTTTCAGTAGTTCTCTCCCTTGAGCAAAACAATTCTGGGCTGGCAAAGTATGTTGAACAGACTTGAAACCCTAAATCTCCCTTTTAACACTTAAACTATGCCCAGACAGATGCAGTTAATTAGGTATTTCATGTATCCTTGTATGCTTGGGAAATTAATAGTTTGAAAAAATGGCTTCCAGCTTTCCAACCATTGGAAAGTTTTGAGATACATTTAGCCTAGTTCCCCTGAAAGAAATTCAATTTCTCTTTTGAGAACTTCAGGGTATATCAACAGAGGAGAAAAAGGAAGATGAAGAACTGCTGAGTTAGCTAACTTCTGAGAATCCTCACAGCGCCTCTCACATAGAACAGTTCTGATTTTCTGATGTGTGCAGCCAGCTTTTCCCATTCATTCCAATGTAATGATGCCCATCCATCTGCAAACACAGATGACAAATCCTTTTAAAAGAGTACTTGGGTAAGAATTAAATTTGCTCCCCATTCAGCATCATGTATGAGTTCTGTCTCATATACAAGACTTTAGTACTTGAAAGCCTTTTGAGTTTGTTCTAGTGTTAACCAGTTGCACATTTTAAAACTAAAAGTCACTTCTATGGGAAGGAATGGGCTTCTTTGTTTTGTTTGCAGCTGTAGATAATACAGTGCAACTACTGAAGCAGTTTGAGCTAGGATGGGCTATTCATCATCAAATCCCTCTGCTGCCCATGAAGAAGCTGGAAAAAGAACTGATTGAGCAAGTCCCTTAAGTGCTGGTTTATACTATACAACTGTCTAGCTCTATAGTTTGAAAGAAAACTGAGATATGCACAATGTCCCCAATTCATTCTCTGCTGTGTAGCAGGGTTCTTGCCTTTGATCTGAAAGATACCCTGAAAAGGTTCCTTCTCCACATGTGCTTTGAAGGACAGATCATATTTCAAAACAGTTGACAAATAACAAAGTTTGTGTGTACTTTTTTTCTGTGCTCTTTTCAGATGTGGATTTGCTTTCTGATGTTAGGGCAACACGATTAGGACCTCTAGAAGGGGTGCAAAAAGGTTTAGAAAGTTCTAACCTGCCTCACACAAAGGGCAGCGATCATATGGGCAAATGGATTGCTGCCACCTACCCAAACCATGACGATGTGACCGTTGTGGAAGCCCATCCTGAAAGAGTTCAGCAGCTCAGAGCTTTCTCCCTGCTCTTTTGATGATCTCTGCAGTCCTCCTCCACCGCTCTAACCTATTCCCCTCAGGCTTGGAAGGAGAAATGACAGCAGAGATGAAGCGCAAAACAGATTTGCAGACAGAACTGATTTATGAGCAGAGTGGGAAGGGAGGAATTGCTTCTGGTTTGGGGGAGATTTAATTGCTGTGCCAGGGGAGATACAGATGCTGGCTGAAGAGATCCTTGCTGTTTTAAATACTGAGGAGATCATGACAATACTAAATGACTGAGAGATACTTTTAAGTTAACATGGATGGCCAATGGTCTTTTCTGACCTTAAAATCTTTGAACTGTAGATCATTAAGTATATATTTTAGGAAACAAATCAATTAAAAGCTAGGGAGAATCACAGACCATGTATCACAACTGTTTTTTTCATTACATTTTATTGATTCACTGTATGGTCATAGTATTAATTATTTATTGATCTCTGCAAAGGACTAGAAATCTTCTGTAGTAGCTTTTGTAAGAGTAGTAAAAATTTAAAAGTATCAGATATGCTGTACTAGGTCTGATAATCAATCTTGTATGTGTGAAGTGACACGTGTTGTTTTTCTGATAATTAAAGGTTTTAAATAAAGGTGTGAGAATGACTTGATTGCCTCACCATTTCTTGGATACAAGAAATGTGCTGATGCTCCAGTGGTGTCGAGTTTTAGATAAGACTTGGTGGAAGCTGCTTAGCTCAGCAGATGTAGTTTCATGCTAATTTAAAACGTGAGTGATGCTAGTTAGCAGAATAGGTCATATTCAGAATCAAACCCATTGGGGGGGCGGGGGGACAGTATAAGATACTGAGAACAGCTATTTACCCATGAACAGATCCATTTAACTTTTGCACAAAATTCAGAGTTTAGAAATGTCTACAGTCAAAATACTGAAACCTCACCAAACTACTAGAAAACAAGCCATAGCTGAGAGTCAAAACTGATGAACTGGAAAAATCTGTGATCATTCTTTGTTGTTATTGTTGTTAACGAACACAGCAAATGAAAATAAATAAATCACAAGCCAAGGTGAAATGGAGTATTGGAGATATTTCTGCTTCCTTTGCAAATGTCCTGAGAGAAGTCAGCCTCTCTGTGCTGTTATGAGTAAAGTAGCAGAGAATAACAGCTCATTAAAGGTTAGCAATATGCTTGAAAAATTTTGTACACAATAAGAGATATTTTGGGCTGTTCTTGCCAATCTTAGCTATGCATTTCTGTTTCCAGGTGCTGATTCCTAACCAGTTTGTGTGTAATAACTCATGGTGCTGCAGATAAGACATTGTGTCTCTACTCTGAGAATATTATGGGAATAATATGTAATTTTGAAAATAAAAATCTTTAATATGAGTTTCAGAGAAGATATCAGAATCTATAAAGAGATCTTATTCAACTCCCATTTATTAACATGGTGTTTGAAAGTTATAGTGATATTGGGAGAATAATATCAACCTATAATGAAAAAGATTTCTATCTGCAAAGGCTATTTTGACATTGTTCAGCTTGTGCTCTTCCCAGGAACCTTTCTCATTTTGCTTTGGATCATTAGCAGCAACTGCACTTTAAAAGTTGTTTATTAGTACTGTATAGTCACTTGTCCAAATTCAGATTAGCAAAGGTAGGCTATTTCTTTTGGGTCATAATTTTCAAAACAAATCTCAAATCCATAGCCTAGATAAAGAGATGTTTAAGGAATTGTTGAGCTAGTGTGTTTCCAAGCTTTAGTTTTTCAGCACAATGCCATGTGTAAGTGTGTGCCTGATGGATAAAATGGGTACTGTTCACTTGTGCATCACAGAGACCATGTTGCTAGCAATGACAGCCACATATCCTAAAAGAGACTGCTGTCAAAACGCCCGAGTTTGGCATGGGCAACATGCCTTCAAGTACTGACTGACTTAAAATCCCAGCCAGTTTCCCACTTGCCTAGCAGTGATACCAGGAAACTTTTACTCTGAGATGAACGTCTGCATGCCTGGGAACGGCAGCACGTTTGGCTGCAGGAAGATGTTAAAGCCTCCTGACAGATTTTCTGCTTCCTTTGGAACAGCATATGCGAGAGGCTGCTGAACGGCGGCAACAGCTGGAGTTGGAGCATGAGCAAGCCTTGGCTGTCCTCAACGCCAAACAGCAGGAAATTGAGCTCCTGCAGAAGGTAAGCAGGCAGAGGGAAAGGCAGGTGAAGTGACCAGCTCCAGTGACAGAGCAAAGTCAAGAAGGAAACCTTCTGGTTTAAAGGAACTTCAACCATAGCCACCATAAGTGGTTCCTCTTTGGGATCAGTCTGTGTGACGGTTGATGCAGTTATGACAAGTGAATGTTTACTGTTGGATTTTCGTGACTGCACTAATAGATTTATCAATGTTTATGCCAGTGAAGATTAACCTGACCAGTATATATAAGTCCTCATATTTCCCAATGGGAAGGAGAGGGATACAAATATGTGTGTTTCCTTTTTATTTCCATTGCTTTCCTCTATATTTGGCTCAAAAATATTTGTGCATTCCTTAAATGCCAGGAAGGAATTGGCTCTTAAATTGATGACGATCAAAATATGGGGAATCTACCATGTCCTTGTCAGTTTGCTGGAACAGTTAATCATTCACATGGACATATTTCTGTTTTGTTAGCACTTCTTTGACTTCCTCTTCCAGACACTGTCAATTCTCACTACGTTTTCCACCAAATTAGATTAAAGTAGGCCCCTGTCAAGGTGCTTACACATCAGAGTTGATCTTGTTTTTCAGAAACTAAACAGTTTTTAAAGTACCTCACTTCCAAGCTCACTCTCTAATTCACAGATCACTTTTAAGACTTTTCTTTTCACACTCTTAACTTCTCAGTATTCATTATAATATAGAAGACTTTTCTTTTCACATGCTTAACTTCTCAGTATTCATTATAATATAGAAGAAACATGATATTGAGTTTCATTCTTACCAAAGTCACTTAAAGCTGCAGTTGTCTGAATACTAATGTTGATTTTTTCCAACTGTGACTAGATCAAAACATGGAAATAATAATGCTAATGATAATTTGGTAGAGAATTGGCATGGAGGGACATTCTCAGCAGAATAAAATGATGTGTCTAATATAGTCTGCCTGAAATAGAAAGCTTCACTCAACCAAATGAAAGCTTCCAGTTATTTTTTTTTTGCCTTTTGCAACTGTTCAGGCATATTTCAAAATGCCATTTCTAGGTATATTCAGCTGTTACAATTTGAAATTCCACATAAATTTTGGACTTAAATTTCTTGGCAAAGTAAAGAAATCAATGGTGTATTTTTTCTTCTTGCTAATTTTTTTTTTTACATTCTTCTAATAAATCCACATTACATTGATCTTCTTGTTACAGATTGACAACAGGAAACAAATCACTCTAATACTGTTTTCTCCAGTAATTTTTGCTAAGCTGAAGCCTGATAGACTTCAGGCACCAACGAGGTTGTATTGTGTTTGGTATTTTACTCAATGTGACTAGCTCAACGTCTGTAGCCTGTGATTAAATTCTTGTTCATTGAACCTAAAGTAACATGGAATACAGATCATCAATGTTAAAATTTATTATCTAATAATCATTTACTTCTGCATTTCACTGGAATTTTAGCTTAGAATTTCTATACTGAGATCTACCATAACAATTCATCTATGCATTACTTAGAAGCATTTAAGAAATAATTAATCATTCTTACTGGTTTCATTCATTAGCCTGAAATATTCCTCCTAGGACTTTGCACAGATACTCATTTTCACCCCGAGACGTCTAATTCTTTATGTGATTAAGTTGCTATTGTGTAATTTTTAATTATTATTGCCTTTCATGGTAAGGATCTGTGACAACTTAAATATCATTCTACCCATCTCATCTCTCGACTGTCAGTTGCTTCTGTAATGCTATTATTAAAGCTATAGAATAAGAATGAAGACTAGATCAGTACACTGTATGGATAGAAGGAAAGTATTCAAAACACTGAAAGATTTTGGGAGGGTGTCTATATTGTGCACTGTTCTGCCTTGGAGAGAGATACCCAAGCTACCTGTAGTTCTCTAGACCTGGTAATGGGGATGAGCACAGACTAATTTGTCCTGCTTTAGTCTCTAGACTGCTGATATCCAACACACCTCCTGTTCAACATTATAATGCAGAGTATATTGTCTGAAAAATAATGTAAATAAATCTGTTACCTAAGTAAGATGACATTTCACAGCCTGTGAACCACAGAAATGTGCACTTCAAAACAAGGAAGACTGGTACGGTCTGATGCATTTGCTGTCACCTTTTGATATTATAAATAAAAAATCACTATGTTGTTAATATATGCACAGACTGATCAGATTTTCAGCCTAAAAAAAAGAATGTAATATTGTTCATCAAAGTTTTGTGTTGATAGGGAATCAGACAGTCATCTTCTCAAAGAAAGCCTGGATACAAGACAGCTTGATGGAGAGGAGAGATAGCTATTGATGCAGGTTTTCTAATCATTTATCAAGAACTCATATTCTGGGTAGATTTTATTAAACTTGTAATGATGGATAACACAAGGCTTTCTATTGTGGAGCCAATATTGTATCAGTTGCTAGCAATAAGACTTACTACAGGAAGAAATATGACTATGCTTGCAGGACCAAGGGAGGCTTTATTACCACGCGTGGCAGTGAAGTGCAGTTTGGGTGTATGTTTTTAGTTGTGACTTTATGGCCTGACCCAGATTCCACTGAAACCAGTAACAGAGTAAGGCAGCTCTCACAGGTAAGGAAAATGAAGTTAACATAGCTGTGTCGTGTCCATCATGGCCCACTAAATTAGAAAGTCTGTGGGGTGTTTCCCTCTGCCAAACTGGAGGGTTTTAGGACTTCTCTGATGAAGAAATTGCAGAGTGTGCCCTTAGTGTTACAGTAATAAGGAGCTAAGAGGCAAAGTGCTGCTATCAGCCTGATACAATGGTTAATAAAGAGTTGTATTTATTTGGGGCAAACTTCAATAAAAAACATAATGAAAACTTAAATGGAGGTGGGGATAACACAAAGTTACTGAGTGCTATTTTTTTTGCTTTTCAAGGTTTAGACTTTTCCTGAACAAAATTGATAACTGAATTTCTGAGCTACAGAAAATACATTTTTCTGCTTTTTGATTCCCTCTTTTCTTCTTTGACCCAGTTTATTGGACCCTGAATGTTGCACTCCTGTTTACAGACAAGCTTTATGGTGGCCTTGAAGTGTTTTGTGAGCCATTTACTTAGTTTATATTGTTGCTGCCTGTAAAGAATGAACTTAATTTTTGTATTGTCTTCTCCTATCTGGTATGCTAAGTTTCCACATGACGAACCTCCTACAATGTGGAATAGCAAGCTTATTTTTAAACTTTAATTTAGAGGGTTTCAGAGATACTTCTGATGTGTTCTTGCAGTGTGTTGAGCATGCTTGTCTTGGTCTAGCAAAATACCAATGCTATTAAGCTTCACTGAGATTCAATCTTCTAAAAATAAGCAGTTATTTCAGTGGCTTGGAACCAAGGCACCTTAATAATATTGGCAGAACCATCCCTTCCAGACTGTAATTAGCTTTTGATTTGAGTGTACAGGATGCTACTTTATGTGGTTATAGCATATTATGTGTGGTATGACTAATGGATCCTTTTCCCTTTTCCCTTTTCCCTTTTCCCTTTTCCCTTTTCCCTTTTCCCTTTTCCCTTTTCCCTTTTCCTTTTTCCTTCCTCTTATTATAAAACCAAGGCTCAGGTTGAAGCTAAGAAGGAACATGAAGGAGCAGTTCAGTTGTTAGAGGTAAGAAGATATCCTTTGTGTTGCCTTTTCTTGTGGAGGTTCCATTCTGAATGTGGTAACTTCACAGTATCATCACTTTTGAAAGTTTCAAGTAAAACGTAGGCAAAGAGGGGTTTACTTCTCTTCTAATGTACTTGCAGCCTTTAAAGACTGTAATTCAGTAAGGAGTGCATTAAGCTGAGCTATTGGAAGTGACGTGTGTGGCCTCAGTTTCTTTTTGTATAGAATAGAAATTTTGGTACTAGTTTTTGTCAGCTATCAGATATGTAAACAGGAGGCAATTTCTTGTGAGAATTATTATTGTTCAGACTGGAAATATAGCTGCAGATACCAATCAATTACCTAGGATTCCTAATTAAGTACTGTCTAGCAAACATAAAGCAGCGTGATAAGGAGAAAATTTTTAAACCTAATGAAAGAATTTGGATACTTCACAAAACCTTCAAAGGGTGTAGTAGAGAGGAAATACTTCATTCTTTTTATTGCAAAACTGTATCTTTTCAAGGTAGCCTGAACTGGGCATTTGAAAATCAAGGGCACCAGAAACATACTCAAATTTTAATTAGAAACAGAATAATTCTGTGTGGAAGGGACCTCTAGCTATCTGGTCCAAGTCCCTGCTCAAAGAAAGTCCCTCTTCAAAATTGCTGTAGGTTGCTCAAGACTTTGCCCAGTTCATTTTTAAGTATCTCTAGGAATGGAGATATGACAGCCTCTGTCAGCTCTTGAGTACTTTCATCATGAGGATTATTATTCTTGTATCCTGTTAGAATTTTTGTCTAGATGCTACCCATGTCCATTGCTTCTAATCATGTTGCTGTTTATCACCAGCAGTGATTTTTAGTGTTTCCCAAGTATGCTGCAACACGATTTTAGAATTTGTGAGTGACTATTTGATTTAGCAAGTAAATACACTTAGATCAATTGAATTTTGAGACGTGATTCAGGTGTTCTGGTTTACTAACTTTTAAAGCACTAAATACTTGCACATATTGACATTGTCCATAAAAGCAACATCACCCATAAGGATACATCAAAAATTCTTAGTATTTTCATTATAACAATTATAATTATACATATTATAATAGTTATGCATATTGTACAGAATTATACATAGCAATTATGACCTTGGCACAGGGCATGACCTGTAAATTCATTAGTAGTTGTGTTCATGGACCTTGCATCTTATTTCAAGCCTTCCTTCAGTCATTAATTCTGAAAAAAAAAAACCCAAACTACTAATTTAGTCTTCTGTGCCTAAGGATACAGAATTTCTTCTCTCTTGTATAGAAGTGACATGAAGAGTAGAAGCAAATTCTTACTCCCATTCAAAAGCATGAGTTTTGCTGTCAGGTTTAGCTAGAATAAGGCAAGGTTTGTAAAACCTCTTTGTCTTAGGGTGGGGTGAAATTTTAAGAGATTTTCAACTGAGATTCATAATAATGGAACCTTCATAATGGATAAATTACATATGAAAACACAAAATATCAGAAGATAATTGAAATAAATAAAGACACTCAAACATCTGCCTGATGAAACCTTTTATTCCCTTTGCTGGTTGCTGTTTAGAAATGCAGGGTGACCCAGAATTTTGGGCAATATAGGAGAAAAGACAGCAACATGTAGCAGAAATTAGAACTCCTGTAGAATGTTTCTAAAGCAAATAGTTCCTCCCCACTTTTTCAAAACAAGGCTCAACAGATATCTCTAAGTTCCAATCATACGATTTGATGTACTTGGGTAAGGTAAAGTGTCAGAAAACATAGATGCACCAGTAAACAGCACATTAACTGCATCCAAATTTCCTTTTCATCTTTTTTGTTCTTCATTTTTTTTCATGTAAAATAGGTTTTTGCTGATTGCTACCAAATTAGTTTTTCTGCCTGAGGGAAAGAAAAGGCATTAAATGGTTATTAAGTCTTAACATAATGTATGTATAATAAAGAACACGTGATACCATAGATTGATTATACGAAGTGTATTGTCAATATTTTGTTTAGAAATCTGTTTTCAGCAGAAGCAAATTTTTAGTCTTTTTACCTTATCACAGTATTTCTTCTGTCTGTGTACTTACTGGCCACTCACTAATGGAAGGTGTTTTTTCTGGTGCCTTGATCATATTTTTAAACTTTTTTAAAAAATTATTTATTTCTATCTATAGAAGTTAGTATTCCCATAGAAAATGTTTAACTCATAGGCTTTCTCTGTCATATGTATTAAGGTTTTTTTGCTTTAAAGAATATAAAATTAATTTAGCATTTAATGCCTGATGGAAAGTATATGATCCAGGAAAACATCACTAGAAAAAAAGCAGGCAAGTAATTATTTACACCCCCCCTCAATGTAATAAAAATTCTTATTTAGCTGATTTGTCTGCAGCCTCAGATTTGCATAACCCCATCAAGGTTTCCTAAGCTTTTGCTTTTTATTGCTACAATCCCATTAATTTTTAGCATTTTATTTAATCTGCCTTTTGCAATTTCAGCTCAGCAGTTGTATTGATTTCTGAAGCGTTCTATCACGTGGTTTGCTTTTAATGCATGATTTACACGTAGTAACTGTTCTAATATATTTTGCTTTGAAATGTAAAAGTGTTCAAAACTGTTTTTATTTCTTTATTTCACATCTCTTTGTTTACTGTGTCTTGTTTGGAATTTATTGCTTTGCACTTCATCCAGAACACCTTGGACAGCATGCAGGTATTTTAGGGCATAAATTCTCCTTTTCCTGTCCTGAATCTTCCACTTTTCCCTTTATAATGAGTACAAGAGTCCTGCCTAACCTTGCATGGGATGCGTGCTGGAACCATTGTTATGCAAGCATGCTTGGCATTTATTGACCGAATATCAAATCACCAAAATCAGGATTTTTTTTTCCTACAAGAGATTAATATTCAAATGTGGCATGATTTAATGAGAACTCAGATTTAAGTTTTGAAAGTTCATTTCTTATGAGCATGCCCACTAAGAATGGTTTGGTAGTTTATTCAAGACTATAGCTTTCTGGCTTTGTGGATTTTGTCTGAATTCAGATAGTTTCTTTGTTAGTACAGAGAGAAATTTATATGATATTTTCACCTGAGGTTGATTTGTTGAGCAACCTACTGAAATCCATGGCTGCTACATAAACTGTTAAGCTATGAAATGATATCTCCATAGCAGAATGAGCTGATAACTACTCTGAATTCAAGCCTATCCACCTGGAAAGTTGCTCATCATTTTATGTCTTGTGTGATTGGTATCTGTCTTGTAATGGAAGAAGTCTGCTTCATTTTCCATGTAAGAATCTGTGAAAGTTTTAGAAGTAGCACTATGTATTGTATGAGAAACCTGGCAAGTCCTAATTCAATATAGTCTGCAGTAGAGAATGTCTTTTCATGTCACCACTGCTATAGGCAGACCCAGCTTTAGGGAGATCTGATATTAGGATGGGCTATATGGGCAGAACCATGATGCAGAGTAAAAATTCAGTCCTTCTCACAACCTTGATTAGAAAAAGGTAGTAAAGAAAATAATACATTAAATTAATAGGTTTTTTTTGAAAATATTTTAAGGTAGCCTTAGCATCTTGTTGGGATCTGGATTATGATGTTTTTATTTTTTGTTTTATGCTAGAGTTTCCATAACTGCATGTGGAAAGGTCAGTATATATTCTTAGAGAGTTGAACAGCTCATCCTTAAACTTCCCATTGGGAAAAGGGGATCTAAAAACCCAAACCACTTCACTGCTTGCTTTAATGTTCTTTTAAAATTGTACATAGATGCAGCAAATTAACAAGTAGCAAAGGCTCACATTTCGGTTGCTCAAAAACACAGTGGAAAGATGAAAGACAAAACCAACAAAAACTAAAGCATTTAATGTTTGCTTTATACTTCTACAGTGTCTCTGTATCTTGAAGTTTTCTGTTTCATAACCAGTCAGATAGATTTCCTGAGACTTCTTTCACAGAACTAAATTAATTTGGGTGTTATGAATGCAAAGAAATTATATCCTGTAGCTTTAAAAGTGTATTTGTTACAAAGAAAGGAACAAAGAGTATTGCCTTCTGTAGTAGGAAATTTGGATTTTTATGTTCTTCTGGGGACTATAAGTGGGTTTTTTTTTTTATCTTTAGCTGTGTTAAGGTCTTTGTATAGGTCATGTTATATATGTCATTTTCTTGATATGTAATATGTGCAGTTTTTCTTATATGAACTGAGGACATTTTTCTCTTTTAAGATAATCTTTAGTACAGTTGAATGAATCTAATGGATATGCAGAGTTCCTTTGTTATTACCATTGTTTAACGAGGCATAGATGATACAGGGTTTTTTAATGAAGAAAAGTGATTTTAGTTCATCATAAAGCATCAGATTAGGGTATAATGCATTTGCTTTTTATATAAGGAGCCTATTACTGCCTCTGTTGAGCTACTTCTTGCAGTGTTTGGGTCACAGCACATAAGACAGGAGTACTCCCTAGGTCTCAAATGGCACATTGCCAGAGTAGAGCCCAACTCTACCCCTATGTGAAAAACCAAGCCTCACAAAGGGAATTCTCAGGAGCTTTGCTGATTCTTCAGTCTTTGCAACAAGTGTTAACAAGTTCTTTCCAAGCTCTCTGCATGCTCTAGATTTGGGCTTTTGTCTTCAGGAATATCTGGTAGTGTATGCAAACAGATATACAGGCTGCTTATAAATGCAGACTGAAATTTCAATGCATTATGTTGAAAACATTATTGTACCCTTGATTTAGCTAGTACAATGAATGTGCAGCTTTGGATGAAAGGGTTTTTTTCATGCTTTAGTGTCTTCACTACTCTTATATATATTTTGAGTAAAAAATGTAGGAGAAATCCTGAATTCCTATTCCCTTTGTCATTCCTTTCAGACAGGGAATCTTTCCATCACCTCATCCATTTTTTCACACCAGGAATTTATAAATTGTATGTTGCCAAATTTCCCAAGTCAACACAGAAGCTTATCTTTTAAGTTCTGTTTCGTTAAAGCCTGATCCCTCAAAATTGAAACAAAATTGTTTGCCAGCAATGACATTTTGGTACTTCTCATAAGCTTACGAACAATCTCCTCTTGGCTGGTGTCTGAATTGCTTCTGTGTGGTTTGGGCACCTATAGTGAGGAACATTATTTTTGAAAGGGAATTTAGCCAATAGATAGGCCCACATTCTGCATGAACCACTGGGGGAGGGTTGTTGTTGCTGTTGGTTTTAAATACCTAAATGTTAGTCTAGCAATTCAGGAGGCTTCAACTTAATAGCAGAGGATGGGCAAACATCAGAAGCATACCTGAGTTTTAGGAGAAGTTGGAAAAGCACACAAAAGTGACAATGCAGGTAACTGTGGAAGCCATAAAGCTGTAGGATCTACTTGCAGAAGTTCTTGGCAGTGATTTTTTAGCCCTGCCAAAACATACAATGAGGAATTTCCCTGTTAGAAATGGAGGATGAAAGGAGTACCTACCTCAATATTACAGAGCTGCTCAGAGCTTTCCTCCTAAACATGGGTGAGAATTTAAGGAGAGAAAAGTGTGATGGTAGCCCTATTTATCCCAAATAGTTTGCCTATCCTGGCTTCTTGGTACTTTAGAGAAGCCTGGTGCAGTCAGAGCTCCCTTGGCTCTGGTGAAATGTCTGTGTTGTCTTGCCTGTGCAGGCCAAGGTCCGCGAGCTGGAGGAGAAATGCCGGACGCAGAGCGAACAGTTTAACCTCCTGTCCAGAGAGCTGGAGAAGTTTCGGCAGCAAGCAGGGAAGATTGATCTCCTGAGCAGTAACTCGGTGGCATCCTCAGAGATCCCTGGGTCTCCCGGTAAATCTCTATCCCAGTTAATGAATGGCATAGCCACTTCTATAGGCAAAGGTAAGGACTAGCACTTTATTTGTAGGTATCTGTTCCACCTTGTAGATTTTACAGTGCAGCTCGGTGATGCAAAGAGAGTTGGATTACACAAATGGAGGATGGGATTTTCTCCCGTCCCTATTTTTTTGGCCTGTTTTAATTTCAGAGTATCTCTTAAGCCTTCACTGAGGTTGTTCCCATTTTATTTGGGCGTTGGTGTGAGCAGAATTCTCTTTAATTGTTGTTGGGTGTAGTGATGAGAAATCTGTTCAGTGTTAAAATGATGTATTCATTACGTAAGTATCTTCCGGTGGAGGAAGAAAAACTGTCTTGCACATGTAGGCCCTGTTGTAAAACCTCTTGTAAAACTGTTTCAGGGATAAGAGTAGGTCTGTTGTCTTGTTGAAATAGCAGTTCATGGGGAAAGAGAGAACAGAGTCCCCCCACTGCGTTAGCCATTACATAAAAGACACTTGGAAATAGAAATGAGCAGCAAATAGGAAAACTGAATGGAATAGTTGGACAAACATTAAAATATTTTTAGTTTAGTTTGTTCAACAGAAAAAATGCACTTCTTCATAAAAACTTGAAAGTGAAACACTACCAAAATTTTTCTGTGGAAGCAAACACTATCTATAAAACCACCAATTCTGTCACAAAGTAATCTTGATTGGAAAAGGAGTTTAATGGGATCTGTTTCAACAGAACTGAATAGGGATAATATCTACAGCTGCTTACTAACTTTGCACAGTTGTGCAAAAGTGTGTTTAAATTTTTAAATGTGTTTAAAAAAATATTTGAACATATAACTGCCAGGTGTTTTAGAAACAGAAAAGTCACACCAAAAATATTGTTGCTCTGAGTTTTAAAAGAAATGGAGAATGTAAAGTAAAAAAAGAAAAAAATTAAGTTACATCTGTATTGGTATTCTTAAACTTATAGTTCCTAATATCTTCAGCAGAGTGTGTGTCTTTCAGAGATCTGCATTAACCTTTTGCCAGGTCATCTGTTGTCAGGATTCATTTTCCATAAGAAAATTGCAAAGATCAAGGCAAGGGGCTACCTAAGGACACCTGAAAGTGACTCTTATCTTAGAATGTGTATTATAACTATGTTATCAAGGCTGAGAAGTGTGCTCACCAGCTCAGTATTACCCATGTTAGAGTGTTTTTAACTACTTCTTATGCAAAGGATCACTTTTCAGGTAATTTCCATTAGTTAAAAATTCCCTCAAAGTTGTTTTAAACTAACTATGAAGAAGAACTGGAAAAAATGAAAAAATCTTGACCTTTTAAAATTTCATCTTCCTAAGCTTCTAGAAAAATTCCGAGGCATAGGAAATCACAAATTGTTCCCCTATTGTTAGACATGAGCAGTTATTTTCAGTGAAGGGTGCTAAACTCAATGTGAAACCAAGTCAAAAGGAGCCAAGGTGACATCCTCCTCTCATTTCACTTCAGGAGCTTGGTACGCCTTGGGTTTTGGAACTCCAAATTCAGGCTGTTTGCAGTCTTGCCCCTTGTGGTGCAGATCAGTTTAGAGGCTGTTCTGGAGCTGCAGGCCTTACCTAAGCAGATATTAAAGTGCACTAAATGGAGAATTCAGAAGGCATTACCTGATAGCCATAAGAATATAGCATAAATTTCCTTAATATCAACAGGATTAGCTCCTCAGGTCTCTAATGACAGGATTTTCAAAGCAGCAATTAATTATAAAGGAAAGGTAATTAGGTATTGAAATGCCCTTTAGGCAGCTAGCGAAGATCCAGTCTATCTGCGGAATTGATCTAAATAGGCCCCAGTCCTCAAATAAAAACAAACTAAACGTTTTTAGGTCCTCAGTCAAACTCCCCAAACTAACATATTTATTCTTGAAATACTAATGGAAACAACTTTTAAAAAAAAAATAAAAATCAAAACACAACAAACATGTATCTTCCAAGAAATCCTTAAGTAAAAACACAGAAAACACCTAGATCTGTACTGAAGTAATTTAAAGGCTTTGTTCTGTAAACCTTTTCTCATAACCTATTGATTTTTATGCAACTTAGAATTCAGGGCCTGCAGCACTGGTGTATAAACATCAGAAATCCTTGGACAATATTCATTCTCAGTATGAATGCACTGATAACAATAAAGTAATGTTTGAGCAAGTGGGCAGGATTTCTAATTATTGAAATCAGCCATTTCACAATAATGATGGTAATGCCACAGCAAGTTCTTCAAATCAGAAGTGTAATTATTTTTATTATGTGTGAGGAAGAAAGAACACAAGAGGGAACACAAGGACAGCTTTCAAAGCAGAGCAAACGACGGAAATGAGATCAGTTTATGACCAGCTGCTTGGCCTTAATTAGTGATGTTTGAATGTCTCAGGAAATGAAATAAACCTAGCCAGAATAGATGAAAATGTAAAAAGTTCACTCTAAACATATAATAATGTCACAATCGGACATAGAAACCTCAGGGTTTATTATTCATCAGATACAAGGTTTGTTTAAATAGCCTTTCTGGATAATTTAGGTAGTCCATAATGAATCAGCAGTTCCAATAAATAAAATGAAGAGTCTAATTGTACTACAACTAAGGCCAGCTTTAATTCTGCTGAGACATTTAAACGAAGTCTGGTGCTCTTCCATGCATCTTTCCTTGAAATGCTGTTCTTCACACCTCCTTAACAGCTATTTGCCAGTCATGGGGAAATAAAGGCCATTTTGAGCTTCTATGGACTTTACATGACTTTATGGACAAAGATCCTGTGACTTCATAAGGTCCTTCTCTAGTATTTAGAGAAAAAAAGAGACATTTCTAGAGTCATCTGCATGCTCTTATGAACTAACCTCTTGTATTTTTTGTTTTTAATTCTTGGTTTTTTTTCAGAGTGCAAATATAAAAGGAAGGGCACATCGTTTTTTTCTTAGTTTCCAGTAATTTAACAAGTTGTAAAACAGTCTTTATCTGTCTGTTTCCTCCATATTTTGTTCTTCAAGCCTAGGGACATCAGTGAAATTGCCTTGAGAGAATCTAGTTTGAAATTGTTTCTTATTTTGGTGACAAAGTTAGGCCAGTTTTCAAATGCAGTCACTTTCCTGTGTTCACAATCTGCAAAAATAGACATCCTGTATAGAAATAATCAAGAGATTACACAAATTCAGGAGGTTTCAGGAGGAATGTGCTTCATGTGCAGTGAATCTGTTTCATTTTTTTGCAAAGGCATTGCTTGATGCTTGTGTTGTTTTTTGTTGTTTTTATAAATCCAAATGTAGCTCCACATAAATAGAATCAGCATGAATTTACATATATTATTTAAAGCATCTCATGACCTTCTAATAAAGTCTCCTCTCCAGAATACACAGGAAATAACTGCTAATATTGTCTGATACAGCTACCCCAAAAATCTGTTCTTTCCAATTTATTGCAGGTGTTAGACTACCTTGAAAATGCAGAAATTTTTAAGATGCTCTAAGAACTAGATTCCATTGTGGTCCCAGATAAAAGCAGTCCCACAGCATGGGAAAAATCCTTAGAGGGTCAGCTCCTGTTATTCCACACACTTTTTCATGAGGAGGCAGGAGTTGATAGCACCATACACAGATTTTATTCAGCAGGGAGATGTTACTTTGCACAAGTAGCCAAATGAACTGAGCAACAGACAACACTGAAGGTGGCAATAAATCCAGTTAGGAAGACAAATCCATTTTGCATAGTTAGATTTGGGACAGAAGCTATACTTCCACATACACTGATGGATATGAGTGTAGACTTAACTCCAATGGGTGAGGTGCCTGAGTAGGGTATATCTGGTTGTTAGCACCATCTGGAGCCATAGATGCATCCAGTCACATCAACGACCACACAGTTTTCTCTCCTATGAAGGTAATTTACTCAAGGTAAATTTTATGCACCCTGTTTTACAAGTGGAAAAAAATAAGACATTTGAATATCTTCCAGCATCTTGATATTCCTGGAGTTCTTGGTAATGTGTGTTCCTATCCTGGCTATCAACCTGTGCATCTGCAAAGCAAGACCTATACTGTCCAAGAATCTTTCTCCACATTTTGTATGTAGTGCAAGTAAATTTATAACAAAGCCTGAAAAATCCAGGAGGTATGAGACCAAACAGCAGTTTTCTTTGAATGAATAATCACAGTTGGAGCAATTATTTATAGGCTTGGCACTGACAGGCTGATATGGCAAGCACATTAACAGCAAACAGAAGGAGCTAAATTGGCTAAAGGTTTCTGAACAGGGATGACTTTTCTGTTATATATGTGAGAAAGGTTCCAAGAATAAAAAATATGTCCTTTTCCAGCCTGGGGATTGCTGTAAGTGAGGCTGGTTGTAATTAATCTTTTGTATGATGACTCGTGTATTTCCCTGCTGTCAATGTGCTTAAGCTGTCCTGATGTAAATTGCAGTGATGTGAAGAAAATTAATCATATTGGACTAAGGAGCACACCAGAAAAACCCTCTGATAATATATCTTGGAGTTTATTTTCTTCTGCAACGTGAATAAAGAGGTTCCACTGATAATTCCTGGTGACACATATCTGGGAAGCTTGCAATTCAGCAGATTGCTGGCCAGATTTCGGGCAGACCTGGAGAGGAAATGCTGAGACTACACATATCCAGGGTCTGAAATATTAGAGCATAGGCTCATTATGTTAATGAGAGAGAGAAAGGATAAGACACTCTGCATATCTGATTGTGTCAGCAGCACCCTAGACTGTGCTTTGCTGTAACATCTGCTGATGCTGCAAGTATAATTAGGCTCAGTTTACATTTTCTTGCTTGTTTTCATGTTGTCTGGGGACTAAACTAACAGTAAGAGGGGGAAAATGTAGAAGTATTTTATCTTGCACTTCTTTATTCTCTCTTGCAACCTTCACAAAGTTGTTCTTTTTACTTGTGTCCCCCCATGATCAGATCTGCTTTTCAGCTGAGTCAGTAGGAGCTAGGAGAGCCCCTTGTAAGGCTGCCTCCTGAAGCCCTTCAAATGTGCAGCATAAACTCTCTTTTCCTTTTTATTTTCAAATGCCTTGAAAAAGCACAATAAAAATATTCCTAGACATTTCTGGAGATTTTCCCCTTTTCATGGCCTATGTCTTCCATTTTTAAGAAACTGGAGCTATGACACAGTGATCAAATTATATTGGTTTAGTGCTGATGTTAACAAGGAGCTCTTAAGAAAAATGAAGCAGGTACCCTTGGGATTTATTGCACTGCAAAAAGCCAAAGCACTTCCCTTCAAAATAAATATCCTGCCAACTAAACTATTAGCATTTCAGACGATTTCTTAGAAGATAAATGCATGGCTTGATTCTACTTGCTGATGTATGACAGAGTCCCCAAAAGAAACAGAATGGCTCTAACAGCAGAGTTTTAGTGCTGGGCATGTTAAACTGCATGTTAGATAACTTCTGCAAAGGTATCAAAGGACTCAGAACATAGGCAATTTTTTTTTTCATTAGAGGAAACTAACTTTTATTTTTTTTAAAATTAAAATATCTTCACTTTCTACATTATGTTCCATAACATATTGTTGACTTATGTGATTTACTGAAAGGCTGGGAACTAGTAGCTTAGTCACTTTTACCCTCTGCAGTATACCTTCTTTAGTCTTTTTCTAGAGTGATTTCTAAGAGAAGGAGAAAATAACTCACTGCTGCTCAATAGCTGGCAATGTTTCTGCCTGAGAATAATTACTTACTCTCATATGTGTTTTGTTCACTACCAGGTCATGAAAGTCCTTCTGGAAGTCGTTTTGTGATTTCAGAGTTTATACGACCCCTTCAAATATCTGGAGACAAACCAGAACAATTGTCTGTCAAACCTACATTCCAGTCCAAGTCAAGATCTGGTACCCCAAGATGCAGATTTGATTCAGACGTGAGTCTTTGTAAATTTGTTACTTAAAATGTGTTTTATGGGGTCAAGACTTCTCTTCATCAGGGGACCAATGCAGCTTGATCCACCTGTTTTCAAAAAGTCAAGACGTGAATGTTCTTGTTTTCTGAGTCAACTTAGGAACATGACCAGTGGGAATTTAACTGATATTTTCAAAGAAGTTTCAGCTAATACCCTAGTTACGCAGCATGAAAAGTGTGTGTGTGAGAACTTGCAGCTTCTATGAAAACCACAACCTTCAATGATGCATTCAGAGTGTTGTACTGCTTCTGTGCATAAGAGGTGTAAGTCAGCATTTGTTTGTCTGTTTTAGTGTATGTCTATGTTATGCAGGTTTATCATTATTTTATTACATCTACCAAAAGGTGTGACTTTGATACAGCCTGGGCAAATGGAAGAGAATTTCCACGCAGTGCCCAGAGCAGGCAGTGCTCTGACAGAGAAGTAGCTCACTCTGCAGGACTCGTTCTTTGCCTGATTTTCATGACGTGTGAATCTCCTCACTGCAACTAGGCTGATACCACCTGCTAAGAGCAGCTTCCAGCACACTCTCCTAAACTGATATTAAGCCTGTAACCTGAAAGTGAAAGTTGCAGGATGTCGTCAGTAAACTCTTCCACCATTCAACTTTACAGCATGTATTTCACTGTCCTTTTGAAAGGCTCTGTTCTTCTCCTAGAAAGGTTTTACAGTTATCAGTGGAATTCTAATAGAAAGCAATTGGGAAGCTAAGAAGAGCTTTACAATGGTGCTATGGCAAATTGGTTGTACAGTGGGAATTCGATGGGCATATCTAAGGATTATCCACAAATAAGTATGAATATCTTTTTGTGTAGCAGCGTTGCTCAACAGTGGGAACATCCACTGCTTTTTGAAGAGGCCACAATAAAAACAGCCCGAAGTAGTCAAACCAGAAAAAGCTGCTTAGCAACAAGACTTAGAGAAGCAGAACGAACAGCAAGGAACAGAAGAAGTGCACGTCAAATTTAATTCCCTTTTTCTATTATTTTTGAGTTATCTCTCAGTGAGAATGTCAAGCCCTCTTTTGCACAATCATTTGTTGTGTGCCTTCTAGAGTGTAATTATGTGATACGTGCTCACGTTATGCAAGCTCACAGAAATTAAACTCCATTCTTTTTTTAGAGGTATCCAGACCCAGGGGGAGAGTGTATTAATGAAGTCTAAAAATGCAGCATAATGCAGTGAAGTCTGACATAAGAAAGTGTTACTCTGCAAAAAGATATCTGCAGTTTCCCTGATTATTATTAGTAACAAAGTCTTCCAGAATGAGCATTAACAGGCTAATTATGAGCTTTGTGACGTGCCCATAAAAAGGTTTCAGGATGACAACCCTTGAAAATTTACCTGCATTTCTTTCAGTTAGCAGAAAGGGTGGGTTTCAGCAGATGCTGCTGCCATGGATTGGATTGGCAAGTTGTACATTTTATATGATACTGTTTCCAAGTGTTTGGAAGCTGACACTTGCACCAACTCTAAACTCAGCATTTGTCTTAAGTACTTACTCACTGGTATCAGATTTCTACTATTGTTTTCTGATTGAAATATTAGGGTATCACCCTAAGTTGTCTGTGTGATCATACAGCTGTACTATGCCCAGAACCAACAGGCATATAATTTACAACAAGGGGTAACTGAGTTTACTGTACCTTAATGAAGACTTTAGTAAAAGTTTAGTCAGGAGGGTGAGGTGGTCAGTGAGACTGGTCTGGTTAAGTCATGCCTATCTGTTTAGCCAGCAGCATGAAAGGGAGTGATGTGGTCAATATTACATCTCCTTCAGCTGCCTCCACTGACCAGATGACAAAACACCACTGTCGAGTCTCAGACAGCTGGCATGAATCTCTAGCAAAATGTCAAGGAATTAACTCCTTTGTCCTGTTAGAATCAGAACTGCTATTCTTTTTTTGGCTAAGCCCTCCTAAGTAAAATTAATCAGTTCTGTTCCATGTTAGAAATGAATATTTATTACATATGCTTCATGTTTGCTGTCTGATCTGTATCACCTGCCAGGAAACAGTGCATGCATCTTTTGGAAATCACATTGTCTTTATTTTTTTTTTTCTTTACAGATGGATAATGATCAGAATTCCAATACCTCAAAGCAGAGATATTCGGGGAAAGTCCATCTTTGCATTGCCCGTTATAGGTAAAAACCCCAGCTCATCACCTATATGATACATGTTTGAAATATTCAATGTTCAGTTTTGCTTTGTTTTTATTCATGTACTGAATTATTACCTGGAACCAACGTTAGGGATAGCAGACCCCTTTCCTGTTTGCACTGGCTGCAAAGCATGCCATTTCCATGTGCTGTCACTGGCAGAGAAGGTTTAACATGGCCTGGCTCTTTTACCCACTGCCCCGTTTCCAGCTTTCAGTGTCTAAATGAGATACAAATGTGTACCTCCTATTTTACAGAAGATGTCTCAATCTTCTCAGAAATTGCTTTTTCATCAATGCAAGAAAGATTTAAAAGTTCCTCACATATTTGCTTTCAACATTAAGATTTCAGGTATAAAGTATTGTCACATTAATAATTTCTGTGACTATTTCTTTCAGGGCGGATATAGTTTTCATTACTTTTAAGAAGTTTTTGTCTATTAGTAGCTTGCTTTAACTGTAACTCACTGTTTGTGTCTTTATTTAACTTGTCTCTGTTGAAGTTAGGAAACTTCTGTAAAAGACTGCCATATAAAACAAAATTAATATAGGGACTGGGAAATACCTCCAGAAGTGAGTTTGCTTTAATTCACTGTAAAAAAAGACTAAAGATGATTTTGGCCAGTGTATTCAAAGAGACCTAAGTGAGAAATGTGTAGTTAAATTCTACAGAAAAGGACATGATTTTAAGTGTTAACTACTTAGGTGAATAGGGTGCACTTCATGGTCACCTGTTGGGGCTACAGTTAGAGTCTGCAACAATGAACTGACCGAGGCTCCACTCGGAGTATATGTTTCAGATGGGATGCAAAAACAGTGAAGTGAGGAATTGCCTTCCTGTGCAGCCTGGGAACTGTACACCTCTTCCTGATTCCTGTTGGGCCGGGGGGCTGCAAGTGAACACAGGTTTTCCCTCTGTTCTCCACCGCAGTTACAACCCTTTCGATGGACCAAATGAAAATCCAGAGGCAGAGCTCCCCCTTACGGCAGGAAAGTACCTTTATGTGTATGGAGATATGGATGAAGATGGATTTTATGAAGGTATTTTTTTTTTAATGTACGAATTCCTGCTAATTCATGGAGATTCAAATCAGTTCATCTGTCGAAGATGCTCCCGATTCTTTCCTTCTTCTACTACCAAATCAGTTGCTAAAATTACTCCTATCATCATTGTGTTAATTAAGAAAGTCTCTGCACCAGCAAAGCCGTTCCTTGAAGGCAGAACTAATTATAAGATATTTTGTATTGTCAGCTTTTCATACTGGCAAGATTTAAGCTGACAAGAAAGCTTACTGGCAGTTCTGGGTTTTGCCTCACTCAGCCCTTACGTTCTCACTGGGGATGTTGTTCATGTGCAGTTTTTACTTCTAGCTTTTTCCTTATCTTGGCCGTTTACAAAGCATTGGTGTGTAAGAGGTATTTTAATGGCTTTGTTCTCTCTCACCAGGGGAACTTCTAGATGGGCAAAGAGGACTAGTCCCTTCAAATTTTGTGGATTTTGTTCAAGACAATGAGACCCGATTATCAAGCACATTAAGCAGTGAACAAGATCAGAATTTAATCAACCATTCAGGGCCTGCTTTGGAAGGAGATCTCTTGGAGATAAGTCCACCAAGTCATATAGAGCCTAGTGTAATCAGCAATGGCGCAGGGACTCTGGATGTGAACATTGATGAAATTGGAGAAGACATTGTGCCTTATCCTAGAAAAATCACCCTTATTAAACAACTAGCCAAAAGTGTCATTGTGGGCTGGGAGCCACCGGTAGTGCCACCCGGCTGGGGAACCATTAGCAGCTACAACGTTCTGGTTGACAAAGAAGTAAGGATGAACATAGCCTTGGGAAGCAGAACGAAAGCTCTGATAGAAAAGCTCAACATTTCTAGCTGTACCTACCGAATATCAGTTCAGAGCATTACAAACAAGGGTAACTCAGATGAACTGCAGTGCACTTTGTTAGTTGGGAAGGATGTCATAGTAGCCCCCTCTAATCTTAAAGTGGACAATATAACCCAGATTTCTGCTGAGCTGTCCTGGCTCCCTACTAATAGTAATTATAGTCATGTGATCTTTCTTAATGAAGAGGAATTTGACATTGTCAAGGCTGCTAGCTACAAGTACCATTTTTTTAATTTGAAGCCAAATATGGCCTACAAGGTGAAAGTCATGGCAAAGCCCCATCAGATGCCCTGGCAGCTTCCCCTGGAACAACGAGAGAAGAAGGAAGCCTTTGTGGAATTTTCTACATTGCCAGCAGGTTTGATATTTTTCTCCCTACTCCAGAACTCTCCAGTTAAATTTCTCTGAAAATACTAGATAAATTAATCTAATCTTTACCTTTACACTGTACTCTCTGTCATTTTAATGAGCAGAATGAGGATTATTAGATTGCTTTATGGTATCTAAAATTAATTGCTGTCCTGAGTGATTCTCTTCATTGTTCCTGGGTAAGGACTGAATCATTTTGGAGGAGATAAACTAGGGAGAGCCATGCTTATTATCATCACAGATCACACACTATGTGTCTTATCAGATTAATCTTCATTTGTATTTAATTTGTCCAATTATAGTATTTTAGGTAGTAATTTATTTTCACTGGTGTGAAGAACACTGGGGAAAAAAACAGTTATTACTTCTGGCATATTATTTGTGTGTATTAAAACACTTTTTACACAAATGATCCATCCCTCTTCTGTAATGAAAAACAACACAGACATCTTAGAGGGTTGTGAATGCATTTAGGTTGTGAAGTTGTAATCACAGTGTACAATTTGAATTTCTAAAGATAAGAAATTGGTTGTGGTTTGGAAAGACTGAGCTTTTTTCCTACCTTGCTTTTACATTAGGAATGTTGATGCTGTCAGTCATTTCCCAGTATTTGAGAACAGTGAAGTAATGTTGAAAACAGGAGCAGATGTAGTGCATTTAAAGGATATTCACATAATTTTGGGGGTGTGTGGCAGTACTTGAGAAATTTGAACATTGCTCCTGATAGATCTATCTAACCAAGGTCACCTGATCAAGGACAAGCAGAAGACTTCTCATATATTCAGGCTTTCAGAGTGCCTCTGAAGCAGGGACAGTCAACTACAGGTGACTCCTGGCAAGTGAGATTTCAGTAGCATGTACTGTGCCCTGGCTTAATTGACTCCCTGCTGGGATTTGACTCTATAAAGGAATTAGTTCTGGTCTCTTCCTTGGCTTGAGTAACTTTTGTAAGGAGGCATGCAGGACAGGAGTGCTGCTTGAGTAGTGAGGGAGGTAAGCTTGTATGCCTGCTGCTTTCAGTGCTGTTGATTTACAGCTTCAGTGCAAACACCCTCAGCTCAGACGTGTGTCGACTTCTTTGTTATCTGGGAAAGGCCTTTCCAGAGAGATTTTTTTCAGGCCAAACACTTCACATGCTGTATCTCCCTCTAGCTGCTGAAGTACGCTAGGGCAATAAATGACCTGCTCTCTGCTGAGGAGCTGAAATGCAGCAAAGCCCCTGCTTTAGATCCAGAGATCCCAGAATCTTCCCACCAGTTCACAAAGAGCAATTTTACAAAACCACATCGACTCTTCACTGTTACATAGAAAAATAAAATGGCAACTGTTGAATTGATTAGGGGCTGATGCTTGTATTTCAAAAGTCATTGAAACAAAGGGAAAAGGATGCCCATGGAATCAGAGTCAGCAAGGGGAGCTACCTTCATAGTCTGTCATGTTTTTGTCTTGCAAATATTACTAGCTTTGAGTAAGTGCATCTCCCTTCTTCAAAACAAAAAGAAAAAAAAATGTGTCTCTTAATGTGACTACTACTGATTTTGCTCTCAGACTCAGGATAATTTTTCCACCTTAAATATCTTCAGCTGATCTCTGTGTGAGGGACACGTTTAAAACATAATTTTTAGAGTATGCTGAGAGAGCAATACAGACTTTCCGTGTGAAGGGAATCTCTTGTCATTGTGCTTCTGTAGAAGAGGTGTGGGGGTGAGTGATGTCACATAAACCTTTACCTGTGGTGAATATCAGGTTTAGCAGACAGTGCAGCATGAACTGCAACAAAGCTGGCCACAGGCAGCTGCTAAAGTTTGTACTGACATTTTTCTAAGGGCTTCAGAAGCATTTACAAATGAATGCATGTGCTCACTTGATTTTGTGCTGAGATCTGCTCGTTACCAGTGGTGCAGTGATATGCTTACAGCCAGGGATACCATCAGCCACTGAGACCAAAACGGGAGCAGGCATCAGTGGATATTTGAACATTTTCACACTACATCAGTCTCAGGGGGTTTTAGGAATAAATTAAGTAAAAATGAACTTGAGATAAATGCTCACGTTTCAAAAGCAGAGAGAGCAGTTGCATGAGAAATAGAGGACAATTAGAGGTTACCTGTTCTTTTTTCTCCTTGCATAGATAGATCATATTTTGTGTGATTTATACTTGAAAACACATTGCTTCCTATCAGACCATAGCTGAGTGACAGCTCTTTAGTTGCTGAGCAATTGAACTCCTCTTCTTGATTCATCAAAGCATTAGAATTGCTTAAGATAAAATAGAAGTAGTTTCTTTTCTTTTTTTTTAGTGCTCAGATCTAAAAATAGACATAAGTATTGACAGGATTGGGACCGATGAGACTGTTACAGGTTTGAGAGCTAATTTAGTTAAGAAATTCACAAAGACTAAACTGTGGCAGAATTCTGAAACAAATATTTCTGTTGATGACCAAGACCATCAAAAGTCATTAGAAGTCATTTCCAATCTAATGATGGGGGAAAATAGAAGCCATACTATGCCTTGGGCATGACAGTTTATTAAACCTATCCCTGCTACGGCCTGTGAAGTTCAAGATAGACTCCCTGGGGATTGTTTGGTTTGGGAAGAGTGGTAGGAAGATGACTTCTCCTGCAGGAGCAGATTAATGTTGTCATTGAGAAGATACTGGAATAGATCAGATGTATTCTTTCCTGTAAACTGAGGACCTTTGATGGATTGGGAGTGCTGGCTGTCAATAAAATAGTGTGGTCAGGGAAGCTGAAATTCAATCCTAAATCAGAATCTATGCCTTGGCCAAGAAGAGTATTAGGTTGGTTTGCATCCTTTGGCCTTGCAAGTTCATAGATGCAAGGGGTGTACAGCCAAAAATTTCATGTTGTGCCTGTGGTGTCCTGAACATGACCATAATTTTATTTCCATGCCCACTGGAGGATGAAATTCAGTGACAGCAAACTACTGAAATCCACTGACAGTTTGCCAGCGTATCTGGAGGCTGAGACTTGATATTTACATTTGTATCATGATCTGTTTGGTAACAATGGATGCACACAGTTAAAATATCTGTAGCTTTCTGGTAGATGAACAGAAACTGGTTGTGCTTAGTTCACTGGCAAAAGCAAACTCCCAGCAACCCAGGTTTGTATTCTCCTGGCTGTTATGAAGAGATGGCTATGGCTAAACCCTGCTTCTGAAATGTTTCAGCATGACGCACTTCTCAGGGTTTGACAGTTAAATTAGTACAACAGGGTGCCTGAATTATTAATGAACTAATAGTCTCTATGATATTTTTACTTTGACATTCTGTCCAAAGGAAAGCTATGTATAGTAGGGTAATAGTGTCTTTTAATTAAGGAAGTATTTGTTGTGCTATTACACTAACATCCTGTAAATGCCTTAAAAGGTTAGTAGGATTTTTTTTTTTCAGTGCAGAGTAAAGATTTTGAGTCCAGTTGTCTCTTAAATCAGCACACTATAATGGTAATGGTAGGTCTGGAGGAAGCTACAAGTACAGAGCATCTTGCAAAGAAATATAGCTTATTTAATGGCTGGAAGGTGAGGGTCAGTCCTTGCCTCCATGACCTGCTGAGCCTTTGCCTCTGTTTTTACATAATAACTGCAGCAAGGATATTTTGTCATCTTAAAATTAAAAAAAAAAAAAGTGCTTTGAGATCTGTAGTTTCCACCTTGAAGGTATATCAGTTGACGTGCATACTTCTGATTTAAGCCTTAACATTAACCAGAGCTGTCTGTCTTAGGTCCTCCAGCTCCACCTCAAGATGTTATTGTACGGGCCGGTCCCACCCCAGCAACCATACAGGTGTCCTGGAAACCACCAACTCTGACAGCAACAGGGACCTCCCACGGTGCCAATGTCACAGGCTATGGTGTTTATGTGAAAGGGCAACGGGTGAGTTCTCCTCTGCCATCCACATTGGGTGAACTTCAGCTGACAGGTGAAGGCAACAATAAACCTGTGACAGCACTTGAACATGTGTGGGGTTTTCTCAGCTTTCAGTAGAACCTACTCTTTTGTTTGTGTATAACTTGCTCGTAATTTCCTTTCTATAAGCACTTGAGTTTTTGGACGAATGAGTTGAAAGGAATAAAGGCAACTGGTGCTAGCTGGTGTGAGCCCTAAGGTGGGCTCCTGCAGCCTGGGCTGGGCTGGCGATAACTCATTCTAGTTAAGACTTTGTGAAGGTTGTGCATGAATGGGGTTGAAGGGATGGAAACAGATGTCTGCATGATAGTACATTGCTTGTTTGTGTACTCAGGTGGCGGAGGTGATCTTTCCAACAGCAGAGAGCACACTGGTGGAGCTAATGAGACTAAGAAGTTTGGAAGCAAAGGAAGTCACTGTTCGAACGCTCTCTGCACAAGGGGAATCGGTGGACTCTTCTGTTGCTGCCATTCCATCTGACCTACTGGTGCCTCCAACCCCTCACCCCAGAACTGCTCCCAAATCTAAGCCATTAGCAAGTGCCGGAGCCCCAGAAACCAAAGAAGAACATTTAGGCCCACATATAAAAATGGATGAGTCGTGGGAGCAGACTCGTTCGGCATCCCCTGTTCATGGACACATGCTTGAGCCACCTGCTCCTAACTTCCACAGCCCACTTCAGGGGAGGAGGTCTCCATCACCTAACCGAATACTCCCTCAGCCCCAAGGCACACCCATCCCAAACACTGTCGCAAAAGCCATGGCAAGAGAAGCTGCACAACGAGTTGCAGAGAGCAATAGGGTAAAGGCAAACCTTTTTTTCAGGCTTTTTTGGGCTGACTTTATTCATTATCACGCTTTCCACCAAAGAATATTTTCATCATATGCTTTAAGGAGCAGCTAAGATGATCCATAGTTTGAGAAGAAGCAATATGCTAAAATTCTGTGCCATCTTTCACAAATATGCTTGCAACCATAAAGAACATTGATCAGCCTTTGATCAGCATAGAAATCCCATAACATCTCTAGGAATGTCTCCAAAAACACAGGGCCTTACTTCTGAAAACAAACGAACAAACAGTCATCAGAGTTTGTGTTGGGATCCTGCAGGAGTCAAAAAGGGAGCTTGTGCCTGTGTGAGGAAAGGCTACCAAATACTGAAGTACTTTGAAGGAGACCAAAACAATAAAGGGGTCATTAAAAAATGAGTTCAGAAATAGGCAGATAGGCAACAGTCCTGAACAGTCTAACTATGAGAGTTAATCCTTCTGACAGTTTACAAAACGAGGACAGAGCCTCATTCCTATAAGGGATTCTAAGGAGCAATGGGGTAACAGACATGTTTGTGTTCTAAAACCATCTGCTTTTTCAAAATAGCAGTTTTGATGCACATACAGCACTATTTTGTGTGCTGTCATGGACCCACAGGCAATTTTACGTGTCTGCCCTTCAAGAGTGCCCCTTTCTCAGGGCTACACCTTCCCAGATGTTCACAACTGCTTCAACAGAGCTGCCACGTGGAAGCTTTTCATTACAGATCCTTTTGTAACTGCTAGAAGCACCAGTGTCCACAGGAGACTCTCTGGTTTTGAGACCATTATGACCCATGGCTGCTGTGATGACTCAGATGTTTACTAGTTAATTTAAATCCCATATTTGAGGCTCTTAGGATCAGCATAGCTGATGTGTGTGCGTCCTGACAACATGCTCTGGTTTTCCCACCAAAGCATACAGTATTTAAATACTCCCAGTGCTTTGGGCAGTTACTTTCTCATCACAAGCTGCTCAGAACTGTCTGATACTTGTATCAGGCTCTGGTGCCACTTCTTTTTCATGCATTCTCTTGGTCCTTCATCTGGCAGTCATCAGATGTTATGTCCAGTCTTTGGTCTCCCATCGTATCTTCAAAATAACTCCATTAATTTTGACAGTTCACACATGTCTTAGCAGCCCAAACTTACTGTCTCTGCTGCAGAACAGAATTGAGCCAGTGGGTGCTGATAGAGTTTTTTTGGGAAGCTGAATAATTCTAGATCCATGTGTCTGCTGAGCACATACATATGCATGTGTGTATGCCTTTTGTTTATATGAACAATACAGAAATGAAGCAAACTGCAATAAATATAACAGAGTGAGTAAAAGCATTACTTCCTTTGTCACTCTGAGGTGTAAGATGATGTAACTATACAGGGAAAGACAACTGAAATACTTCTGGCTTTGAAAACTGCTGACATAACATATGCTCTGAACCATGTTTAATTACATTAACTTTAATAATACTTGAAATGTTTAATTCAGGGATCTGGACAGAATTTTACAGATGGATTCACTCTAAATTAAATCAAAATCTGCCATTGTTATTTTTCATGTTTAGTCCCCAGGAGTAGAAATTCTTCCCTTGCAGCAGGCTCCTGCAGAAGAAGCTGCATGTCTTCTCCCTGCCCTTCATCCAGCCTGTTAGATGGCTGATGGTCATTGTCACGGGAGTCAGCAGCAGG